TAATTCTACCTAGTAGTAACTTTTGAAATGAAACTTTTGATAATGTTAAAATTAATTTAATATACACGAATATTATTAAATTAATATAACTATATTAAATTAATAAAATAAAGAATAACTTCAATAATGAAGATAAAWAAATACAATTTATAATAATTTACAGATTTAATCGTTACTTCTAAACTTCTTAATTGAATACGTTAAACTTTTTTTCTATATTATAATCAAACTATTCATAATTTAACAATAAAACTGACAATAATTTAATAAACAAAAGTTCGTTTTATAACATAATCTAAAATTTTGATTAATTGCTAAATCTTTTTAATTTAGTATAAGATATCGTAATTTAGTTCATGTGACCGATTATACGAAAACTGCGAATAATATGTTGCACATAAAATATTTATGTTCAAATAATTTAGTTTAATGTTATATATAGGATGGATAAGCTTTTGTACAGGAAGCGTTTAACACTGCATTAAAACACCTAATTATTATCTCCAAATTATTACTGTATCATAGCATTTTCAATYGTGCATTAACTTGTATAAAATTAATGTTTATTATTTAAATTAAAATAAAATGCTAACTTCGAAAAATTGTTCTTCCGAAAACGTCGTAAGCACACAACGCACTTAAGTATTTTTAAAGTATACTTGCACTGAATGCGCTGCCGGTGAAAATATAAAATGTAAATGCACGTAATTACCTATAACTTTTCTCGAAAGTACCGAAGGCGCAGCGCACCGTGCGATTGTTTGATGGCAGTTTAAATATTGACTGTTGTTACAACAATTATTTTTTACCGAGTCGATTGATCGTATAGTTCTGTGAAAAACCTTTAAACGACTGTATTGCACAATAAATAGAGCGTCGCGTCAAGAGATTACGACTGTATTTCCATTGCACGCGTACCTAAATACGAAAATTGAGAAAAAAAACACTACTGTAATATTATTTAGTATATTATTATATTATTATGTACCTCCGATTACGCAATGTCAACGAGATTAGATTTCTCGCAAGTTTAAAATAACGTGTTACGGAGGCGTAAAACAAATACATTGCCGGTCTTAACTTAAAATGATGATAGAAAATTCTAATATGTACACTGTACACTATACAGAGTGATTCTCTTATCATACCTATAAACTCTGTTTTATCGTTTAATTAGATTTATGAATTTTTTTATTGAGCTTGGGCATCATATTTTAAAGTACTTATATTTTTGTATAACATTTAAACTCTTTCTTTTATTTTAAGTGCAAATATTTCGTTTTTTCAAATTATAACAAATTATAAGTACTCATTACTTATTAACCAATCAATTATCATCACGGATTAATAATAATTCTCGATACTCACTTCTTTAATCAATCACCTAAAATTATCTACTTATTTAAATTTTGATTTTACCTAACCAATCTTTTCAAAATAATCGTTGACTTTTCAATTTTACAGCAAAACGATTTTCATTTTAAAAGATTACCACAGGACTTTTATCAAGTTTAAGAAAAAAAAATTTGAGATTTGGAAATAGGGTCTTTAATAATTCTACTTAAGAGTTCAGAAAAAACTCGAGAATAACTGCATTTGACTGAATCACATAGGTATACGTTAAATATAAAACTAGGGTGAGCATACTTTGTGAATCGCTCTGTATAATAACTACAACATAGTCATATCTTTGTCAAACACTCTCATTCGGTTGCTTGATACAGTCTGCGCKGTGGTTTAAATTCTTATAATCGTATTGATATGCACTTACCCACACACATGGTCTGATTTTTGTTATGCACCGTAATTGTTGCGTTTGCGCAGAACCCCAGTATGCCGATGGCCAGAGCCGGTTGGGTACTGCGCACGTTGTTACTCAGTGATCAAAACACCGTACTCAGGGACCGGAAGACCGGTGGTGGCCGATCCGTGGTCCGGAGGTGCGCTTCCGGCAGCGAGCTCATTGACTGGCTAATGAACCTAGTATCCACAGACCACGATTCGTTCAGCAGACACGATGTGATTGGCATGTGGCAAGCTCTACTTGAGGAAGGAGTCATATCGCACGGTGAGACAAACATAATGCTATATCATCACAACGATAATTTACTTTGTTTTTGTTATTAATATTATTGTATCCAATGCGTTTATATATATGTGTATATATACATATATTTTTTTTGAGACTTTCTTAGAATTATTTCGATTCATTAAAAAATTACGTTTAAAAACTTCGTGCAAAAACATGATGTAACTAAATTGCATTTTGAAAGAGTAGTTGTTGAAATATTGGTCATTGGTATGTAGATTTAGGAGATAGTATATTAAACTACCTATTGATGATTTTTTTTTTTTTTATTAAAACGAAATATACCAGTGACATAGGCCATTGGGTTACCATAATTCAACTATTGATGATTATAATTTGTTAAATGTTCTAAATATAATAAATACAAAAGTACAAAGTCCAATGTCACATCTTTATTTTGCAAACAATTTTTTAAGGCTATTACTAATACCAAAACTATTTAATGCTGAATATAAATGAGTTTAAAATTGAAAGTTAATATACCTAGTAATTAATAACTTTTTGCATTACAGTTTTGTGAAATGAACTTTTAACTTAATTGATATTAACTTAACATATAACGACCTGCCTATGTTCGTTGAAACCCTAGTTGCGATTAACTATAAATAAATAAAACAAAATAAATAATTGATGATGCGCATAAAAGGAAATAAACAGTTAAGTTTTTTTTAAATTTATTTCTTGAAACCATAAGCCAGAAATTTTCAAAACAAAMAATTTTTTTTTATTAGATTGACGCACATTTTAAATCATATATTAACTGTTTTGTCTAATTTTCGATTTCTATATAACTTTTAACTAGACAGAACTAAAAGAAGTTCTGATTTATTAATTTAAAACTTTAAAAAAAGTTATTTAAAAACTTTACACAACCTATATAAGAAATATCATTAGATCACATAGCCTTCTACTATACATTTTTATAAATTGGAAACTCTACTTGTTCAAATCAATATTTAAAAAAAATCATCTGCTTTACAAAATTTGTAGTATCAACCATCAGTTCACATTAAAAAAAAAACTACCTCCACCACAAGAAACTTCTTTAATGGTACAAATATCAAGTGTTTTAAAATATAAWGTTGTGTATATTTAAAATTCTAAAATTCAGAAATTTAATAAATTAATTTTTAAAGAATAAAATTAGGGTGAAAACTGAGAATGCTTTGTGAATAACCTAATATAGTYSTTAAGATACGAAGGAATCAAAAGTTAATAAATGATTATTATGTACAAATAATTCATAAAATTATGATATTTTCGATGTTTATGAATAACTGTCAGAATTCTAGCTATGACACTAGCATATGAGAAAACTAGATAATCATATATACAAAAGAATATCTGATCATCCTAGCATAATATAACTTAGCTATATAATTTTATTATCAACATATTATATTAACATGGATCAATATAGCAATTAAAAACTACGCCATACCATGTTATCCAAACAGCTACCGGGGAACATCCGTTTAAGGACAAGTGTCTATTCTACAATTTTTGGCAAGACAGAGAAGGTGCTCTTAACACACCCACCATACAAGACGTGGCCGAGGCCGAAGAGCACCTAGACGAGGCATTACAGGAACTTGTCCACAGGGGACCGGATGCACACTTACGTCTGATTCTTCGATCACCGTGAGTAACC